AGCCAAAGGACCGGTGACTGGACAGTCACAAGGTGGTCAGCTCTTTCCCACCCCGTGAAAAGGGAAGCCACCCAGGTTCCAGGCCAGAAAGTGGGCTCCGATGTCCCGAGCTCCATGCCCTGACCTCGAATGGGAGGACGGAAAAAAAGGGGGCAAATTGCAATATCATTGACCGTGTTCCCTATGTTGTAGTTTACGTCCCGTGACTGTTTTGTCACTGCCGATTTGTACTTTTTAATCCCTTCACCTCTTTCGCCCACACCCCCAACCCCCCTCCCAGCTGGCAGCCATCAGAATGTTCTCTGTATCCGTGAGTCTGTTTCTGTTTTTTGTTCATTAATTTCATTTTCCTTTTGATCCCTTACGTAAGTGAAATAAGATTACACCTTTATTAAGGTGCCATTTCATCCTCGCTTTTTTCCAATTCTTAGTATTTTTCTATGGAGGAAAGAGTCCCCAAGACAGAAGCATGGCGGGCCCGTGGAAGTCATCGGCGGCCCCGCTTCCAGGTGATCTGTGAAGGGACCAGTCACAGCCTTTACAGGCTGAAGAGAAGGGACCGATCCGAGCAGCACCAGCGTCCCCACCCTAGGACCCTCCAGAGCTGGCAAAGCCTGGCTTGGGAAAGCTCCATCAGCTTTCTAAAGTGCCAAAGGACTGGACATAAGGCTGGGATGTCCTTATGTAAGAAGAGCTGGAGTGCGGGCGGGTCCCAAGGGACTAGCGGCGACTCAGAAGTTAGGAGCCTGAAGAACTGTGGGAAGAGGAGGGGAAAGGAATGTCCCCTGAGAGAACGTCCTGGGACTGTCCCCACCCAAAAGCTCTAAACCGAGCCTGGAGGCAGCAGGAGGGCCTGTAAGGCTGTGACTCTGGTATCCCAGAGGAGAGTGGGAAGGGGCCCCCCGCTTCCTCTCCTTCCTCTGCACGGAGGGCTGGGTTGCTGTCCCCCGGGCTTGGGGACACAGGCAAGGATGTCAGGCACTCAGAGGACAGGGGAAGGATCTACTCGGACATCTCGCTGAGCGGTGGCCCCTGGCTCTGAGGGTCTCTGTCTCTCCCCTGCTCCCCTGCCACTCCCTTCTCAGATACCACCTCCAGCTCACACACGCACCCAGTAAATCCACATGCTCGTCTGTGCACACCTGTCAGCCCTCCACCTGCCACCCCACTGCCCTCCAGGTGGGATCTGCATTATCCCACCTGCACAGTCCACCAACAGTGGCCTGCCCCGCTCCAAGCCCCCCTTCCCAGGCACCAGATCTCTTCGGAGTCCAGGCTTTCATCAAGTCACCACCTTGTCCAAAATCTTCAGTCCCCACACCACACACACAGCTCCGAGGCAGGGCTTTCAAACGTTCCTGAATCCCCGGACCCCTTTCTTAAATAAAGCCTTTGCGGGGAGCTGATACATAAAAAATACGGAGCTCTGGCTGAAGTGGAGACCCCCCCCCGAATCTGAGCCACCACCTCACCACGTGGAAACCCCTCAGCCACCACTTGAGATCTCGTAGTTCAAAATCCACCGAACCCCATCAGAAAAGCTAAAACTTCTTAAATGGTAGTGCTGAATTCTGCCCATGCCAGGAAGGCTGGTCTCATTTCCTGCTAATGGGAAGTGTGAATGGTTATTGCTGTGGTGAAAAGTAATGTAGCAATAGCTATTTAAATTAAATATGCATATGCCCCCCACAACCCAGCAGATTCACTCCTGGGATTCTGTACTAAAGAATTAAAAGCATCGGTTCTTAAGAATGTGCATACAAAGATGTTTATTCAGCAATATTTCCATTGCTGGTAGTGAAAAAAAATGGAGGTCGGGAAGTAGGAAAAGGTCAGGTGACTCGTGGTGCTTATATGCCATGGAATAGTCTACAGCTACGAAAAAGGAGGATTTAGAGCTCTCCCAGTCGACGTGAAGGAATCTTCATGATATATTGCTAAATGGAGAAAAATAAAATGAAAGAAGTATCTACTGTGACCTCGTTTTTATCATGTCATTTTGACACGGTACAAAAACATTTCTCGTGGCGAGCTATGGAAGAATGAATCTAGTTCATTAATGTGGTCATCTGAGTGTGGGAAACCAAACTGTCATCTAGTGAAAGCTTGTACTGCTGGCTACACAACGGCCAACAAGCCAAGTGACAAATAGTTGGGCGAAGCAAGCAACGTTATTCGGAAAGCCAGCTAGCAGAGAAGATGGCAGACTAGTAAAGAACCATCTCGAGAAAGTACAGATTTCGGATTTCTTGGATGTCAGCGGAAGGGGGGAGCAGGAGGCCTTTGCGGTCAGGAGGTGATTGTTGACATCTGGATGTCAGCAAGGGTCCGAGGGGGTTGATGAAAGTTCTCTGCTTTTGGTCAGTAAACTCTGGTTGCCATGGTCTCAGTCACGAGGTTCCTATGACTCTTTTGATAAATAATCATGATTTTTGTCCACACCTCCCCTACCTCATTGGGGAGGTAGGTCTGAGTAGGGGAGGGGGGGTTGTTTCAGTGATTCAGTTTACCCCATTGTCCTCCACCCCCACCCCTGCCTGAAAATACACAATGAAGTCACATGATTGTCATCCCCCCCGCCGGGGGTGGAGCTGAAAATCAGCCTTGGCTCTGAGCGAATACCCGGGTGACGATCCTGCTGAGGCTGCACCCATGAGCTGGCCTCGGTATTGATGGAAAGGCTGAAGCTACCATTGGCCCAGCCCCGGGGACCCCCACCCCTCCCCACCCCTCAGCTCCTCAGGACCACCCCAACTCAAAGGACTCCATCACTGAAGGCAGGGACAGACTCCTAGAGCCTGGCCCCCCCTTTGACCAGGCACGGGCAGCTGCGGTGAACTCAGACAGGGCGCTCGGCGGCCAGGCCTCGGCCAGGCCAGACGTGCCCTCCAGCCCCCATCGCTGTGGAGAGCAGACCGGCCCCACCCCCGGGCCCTGCTCTGCCCATCCCCTCCAGCACACCAAGAGCAAACGCATCTTCTGGACGCTTCTAGGACTATCCATGCCCACCTGGACCCCTCACAGCCGGGGGCAAGCCTGCTTCCCTCTCCAAGCCCGTCTCGGGATCCTCCCTACTGGGGTCATGTGAGCCCTTCTTTAAAAGGGCTTCGTCCAGAGGGGCATCTTTTCTAACTTACAGAAAGACACCTCGTGAGCCAGTAGCAGCCTTGTCAGAGATGGGTCCAGCATCATGTGAACCCTCCCACCAGCTCCCCTGGCCTGGCGGGTCGCTGAGTCACTCCCAGAGGTGACTGGACAAACCCTCTGACCACCAAGCAGAGGAAGGAACAGAAATCACTGGGAAGCCAGGACACAGGAGTCGATTTGACACCTCAAAAAATTCATTGCACAATTACTCATCACTGGATTTCACTTAGGCCTCCCCTTTCCCCACTTATTTTTAGCCACTGAGGAGGTCACCATAGACCATAGCCAAGGTCCCTAAGAAAGTGACATTTTCCAGGAAGTCATCACCTTGTCGTTGTTCTGGTCCAGGTCGGCCATCGGGTCTCGGCTTTCGGATTCCTGCAGCTTCTAACTGTTAGGATGAGAGACGCAGGCTCAGAGGGCTGGCCCAGCGCCATGGGCCGCAGGACCCTCTCATCCAGGCACCCACCCTAAGAGCTCTGTCCCCACTGCCCACCCCCTTAAGACTACCCATTTTGAACCACCCAGCCTCGGCCACGCGCAAGATGCCAAGGGACGACAGCCCGGGGCTTGAAGGGGAGGGTCAGGGCAGACCTAGGGCCCAGAGCTCGGCGGCCGAGGGGACCCAGAGCTGAGGAGGAGGGTGGTTCGAGGACTCTGAGCAGCCACCTCGGCCACCGCTGAGCACCGCCCTCCAGCGGTTCCAGAAGTGGAGAAGGCGGAGAGGGCGGCGCGCAGGGCGCAGGATGCGGCTGCCGCACCCAGGACACTCCCTCCCGCGCCCCAGAAGAGCTCACTCGGGGCGCCCTCCCGCGTC